TTGGCTGAGTTCTTTATCTCTTCATTTGATGTTTTAGGGTTTCAGGATTGTTGTATTCTCTGTTCGGCTTAGTTTTTCAGATCTTTGCTGTGGAGGGACGGCATGGTGCTTCTGCCTAGAGTGCCATTTTGCCGGAACTCTTGACACAGTGATATTTCTATTGGAAACTTCTCTCACTAGACAAGATTTACTTATAAAATGATTTACGTAACTTGACTTCCTTTTCTCTTTTCTAACTTGAAAATCAAGGAAATTGCTAGTGGTGCCTGAATCAATTAACCAAACGTTTATTCAAGCCTCCTGATTAGTATTCTAAAAGAAAATTCTGAGTGATCTGAATTAACAGCTCCCCTCTTGGAAATGTACAAATGGTATTTAGGAGTAGGTATAGTTATATTGTGTTATAGAGAAAGAACCAAGTTAAGAAGACTTTGCGTAAGTTTTCAGAAAGTACAAATTAAAAAGTCCACCACTCGTCTGTCAGTTTGTCATACTGTGGTGGCTTGTGTGTTGCTGTGATGCTGGAAGCTATGTCACCAGTATTTCAAACACCAGCAGAGTCACCCATGGCAGAGAGGTTTCAGAGGAGATTCCAGACTAAGACAGATTGGGGAGAAGGACCTGGTGATCTACTTCTGAAAAAATAGGTCAGTGAAAACCTTATGAATAGCAGTGGAACATTGTCTGATATAGTACCAAAAGATGAGCCCCTCCGGTTGGAAGGTACTCAAAATATGACTGGGGAAGAGCTGCCTCCTCAAACTAGAGTTAACCTTAATGATGTGGATGGAGCAAAGCTTTTGGGATCTTTATTTGCTGATGTCACATGACTCAAAATGAGAAGAAATATATAGAAAACAAAAATTCTCACAACTGGACCAATAAGCAACATCATGATAAATGGAGAAAAAACTGAAGTTGTCAAGATTTTCATTTTACTTGGAATCAATGTCCATGGAAGCAACAGTCAAGAAATTAAACAACATATTGCATTGGACAAATCTGCTGCTAAAGACCTCTTTAAAGTGTTAAAAAGCAAAGTTGTCATTTTGAGGACTAAGGTGTGCCAGAACCAAGCCATGGTATTTTCAATCCCCTCTTATGCATGTGAAAGCATATGAATAAGGAAGACCAAAGAAGAACTGACACATTTGAATTAGAATGTTGGTGAAAAATATTAAATACACCAAGGACTGCCAGAAGAATGAATAAATCTGTCTTAGAAGAAGTACAGCCAGAATCCTCCTTAGAAATGAGGATACTGAGACTTCGTCTCACATACTTTGGACATATTATTAGGAGCAACCAGTCCCTGGAGAAGGACATCATGTTTGGTAAAGTAGAGAGTTAGTGAAAAAGAGGAAGACCTTCAACGAGATCGGTTGACACAGTGGCTGCAATCATAGGCTCAACAACTGTTCTGTCATACATAGGGTTGCTATGAGTCAGAATCAACTCAACAGCACCTAATGATGATGAAATGAAATAATAAGACATTTTGTTTCTTCATTCTGTGTTTCATTTTTACCTAGATTACTCCTTAATCACTTAAATTTGTAGGATTTAAATTAATACGGGATTGATTAAGGTATATTAACCAATACAAAAAATAACCAATAGTCCCTTATTAATATATGATTACCAGAATCTATTTCAGATCCATTTTTTCATAAGTTAAACATTATATTGGTGCTATTTCTATTTCCACGTTAATCACAAAAGTTACTTGTTTGAATCCAAGAAGCAGTTTTAAGAACTATTTAAAAACTACCATGTGTTTTTAACAGAGCTTTTATTTTGGAACAAATGTTGATTTATCAAGTCTAATCTGATGAAGACTGTGAGAATGGCGCAGGACCGGGCAGTGTTTTGTTCTCTTATACAGAGGGTTGCTACGAGCTGGAAGCGACTCGACCACGCCTAACAACAATAACAACAATCTGATGAAAAATACATCCTATAAATATAACATCATTTGGACAAACATAACCGTAAAACCCACAAAAATTCCATGCTATGATGTACTAAGGAAGGACTATGTTTTCTTCAGTTTTGGATTGCAACTAGAATTGGAAAAGTAATAGTGCCCGGCATTTCATATAAGGTCAATGAAAGAACGTTAAGTGAATGTTGAGTATACGCATGAGTGAATAAACAAACGACCAAGTTGTGGACTGACAGATAAAAACAAAAAAAGCATCTCTCTGTTATGAGGAAGATTGTTTCATTATCTAGGAAGGACAATTCTATATATTTTCAGTTCTATAAGCCAAGGATTTAATTAAACTTAGTATTTGAAAAATAAATTTATAATTTCCTTCATCACACTTTTCTCCACAGCAACATTTTTTATCAGAGAAAAAGAATCCTTCTATTTTGTAAGTTGACAATCACAGACCTTCGTCTGGGACTCCAACCATCATGGCTGTTCATTCATCTTATTCTTTCTCACGGGCACTCTCACAATCTCTTAAGATACTAATTTTAAACTAACACAGTCTACAAGTAGGATCCAAAAACAATTAGGTTTGCAAAGAAGGTTGGAGAGTCCCAGAGATACCAGTTTCATGAAGAGAATGATTAAGTAGAAAGATTACCTTCTGTATTATATATTTATCTTTTATATTTTATTTACAAACTACTTTCACTTCTGTTGGGTTTGTTTTCAAAATGTGGGCTTGTTGGCCTCTACTGCTGAACACAGAAACGAGGACAATAACAGACATATGGTCTAAATTGTGGTAATTAATTAGTCTTTTAGAGTCCAAAATGATAAGTATTAGCAAACATGGTAAAGACAGAAGTGAAAAAAGCAATTCTAAAAATTTTATAATATAGCCTACTCAGTTATTCATTAAACAAGGGATTCAAAATTAATCAATTTAGGAAACATTATTATTCACTAAGTCACAAAAATGTAATGAGCATTAGTTTTATTTAGCTCAGAACATCAAGAAACATTTGACCTCACAACACAGATACTGATTATAACTGGTTTACAGTCCAATCTATTCCTGAGCCAAACATCTAATCTTCAATTTGCCTACATTCATTCATACAAAATACTTACACTGCTTTTGACATCTTTAAGCTTTGGAAGAATGTCTAATCCAAAGCCATCTGCCTGTCCCCGAGTCTTATTTCCACCGTTCATGTAGTTGCCAAAGGCAAGAACCAAACCCAGAACCTGCATAACCCCTGGGCCATTTTTTAATGTCTGCAAAACACGATAAAGAACAAGTTTTCTCTTATATAAGGTTTTGTTTGAATCATTTTAAGTCAGTGCCAGGTATTCATATTATACTAATAGTTATAGGTCACAACCAAACTTTGTCATTGCTCATTATAAGGTATATTTTAAGAGCAGTGTCTCCAAATTTAACTTTAAAAAAAGTAGTCACACACCAACAACCATTCAGGTGTACTTTTGTAAACTGAGAGACATCACTCTAGTCTCATGTCTACAATGTAATTATAAAAACAAAACAAATACACACATAAAAAAAAAACAAGGCTATAAATTGAGAATACAAAATAACATCATTGCCCTCATCCTAATTTTATTTACCTATGGAACAATACAAATTTTTGGCAGTTGTAGGAAAACAAAAGGTAGTCATAAAAGATTCATTTCCAAAATTAGATTTACCCTCAGAAAGTCCACTCACTTCTTTTACAAAACTAAGTTTAACTTGAATTTGCATTTCACTTCCTCTGAAAATCTGAGTCTTTAATAACATCTTCCCACTTTTCAAAATCATTTACCACACCAGAACAAATAGTAATATTGATTTTTGACAAATTGTTTTCTATTTTTTTAACATTTTACTGTGGTTTAGGTGAAAGTTTACAGAGCAAAATCGGTTTCTCAATCAACAATGTATACACAGAATTTTTTCATTACATTGGTTGTAATCCCCTCAGTGTGTCAGCATCCTCCTACTTCCATCCTGGCTTCCCCATTTCCATTCACCCAGCTTTCCTGCCCCTTCCTGCCATCTGAACTTTGTTTTTGAGTAAATGCTACCCTTTTAGTCTCATATATTTGAATGTTCTGAGCAGCTCATTCCTCACTGGTGTTATTGTTCCCCCATAGGCCTCCCTATTGTTTGGCTGAAAGGTGATCTCCAGGAGTGAGATCAGTTCCAAGTTTGAAGGTTGTCTAAGGGCCATAGTCTCAAGGGTTCCACCAGTCTCTATCAGACCAGTAAGTCTGTTTTTTTTTTTTTTTTTTTTAATGAATTTGAATTTTGTTCTACACTTTTCTCTCACTCTGTTTGGGACCCTCTATTGTGACCCCAATCAGAGCCATCAGTAGTTGGTAGCTGGGCACAATCTCAGTCTAGAAGAGGCTATGGTTGGTGTGGCCCATTAGTCTTTTGGACTAATGGTTTCCATGAGTCTTTGATCTTCTTCACTCTTCTTTGCTTTGGACGGGGAGAGACCAATAGTTGCATCTTAGATGGCAGCTCTCAAGTTTTTAAGACCCCAGTTGCTACTCACCAAAATAGGAAGTAGAACATTGTCTTTATGGATTATGTTATGCCAATTGACCTAGATGTCCCCTGAGACTATAGTCTCTAGCCTTTAATCCCAGTAACTCAGTCCTGTGAGGTGTCTGGTTACGGCTAAGGAGTTTTCATGACTATGCCTTCTGCATGCTCTATTATATACATGGGTATATTTGCATTATGCACAAATATGTATATAGAAATATCCACTGCCTATTTGTGCCAAGCATTTATTCTTATTTTCATAAGAATATTTACCTTCTGTTGAGCTGCACAGCTGTTCCTAAATCATTTGGTTGGAATAATTACGAACAATGTGTTGAATGGTCCTTCCAAAAATAAATAAAATACCTTCAAATTGCATTCATTTGGAAGTGTGATGTATGAGACGTCCATGGAGGGCAAAGATTTTGTTTTGGCCAAGGCAGAAGGGACAGACTATCCAGAAGCTGATACGCACTGGCCACATGTTAGCAATGCTATCCTACAGCAACTCATGCCAATCTGAGCATTTGCTTCGATCTTGGAGCACAATCATAAAATGCTCCATTCCATGGGCTAGCTAGCCTTCCCATTTAACGCATCTTTAGAGTAAATAAGAGAAAACATTTTGAAATCTGAATATGACTGAACTAGATTAAATATGAGAAATGAAGTTTCAGCTTTATATGGACCAGAACCCACCTCACACAATTTGTGCAGTAATTCTAGTTTGCGACGAATGGAGCAAATGCTTTCTGAAAATGTTGACTGGAACAGGATGCAAAAGACTCGCTCTGAAAAGTTGGGGATTAGTGACAGTTCATAAAGGAACCTAAGGAAATAAAGCCAAGTTCAGAGGAAAAATATAAGTCATATAAACAAACGTTTACCCTCTCATCATTCATAATAATTATGCATTTAAGACGCCACAATTTCCAAATGGAAAGAGCCCACTGTAGCATGTATGACCTCTACACAGTTATAAGGGTGCTTACTGTTCAGGTTTGTCCAGAGACTTGGCGTTTTCCTTGTCTTTGGACGATCGGCCATGCTTTTCAATCTTCTCCAGCTCATCTGACTGTGCTCTCTGGAAAAACAAAAGTTGAGCAGTTTTTCAAAATCTGGTCAACTGAATTCCTTATATAATAATGATCTTAATACAGCAAAACTATATATATTTTTATATTTCTTAGCATCTGTTTGTGGTAAAACTTGACTTAATTTATGAGGCATTTTAAAGTGTAAATACGTTTAATGCAAACCAGATCACCTCCAAATCTTTGAAATAATGTTGACTATTAGTGATCTGCAAAACATTTATTTATTCAAGTATGCTTTAAAACAATATACTTTTTCCTATCCTGTTATTTTGGCTGTTTATAACACTCTCTAGAAGGCAAGACTTTCATTTTAAAGTGCTATTTCTTATTTACAAATCAATCAAGTTAAATTCGGAAGTTATTTGATTCTTAAGTTTTTATAACACTTTTAAAGGAAAGAAGTACTTAACTATTGTAATCATTGTTATTGCTATTTGTATTTTGGAAGAAGAAAAGCAACATTGAATTATTAAGTTATGGAACAAAAATAAAAGGTTTTGGTCCTTCAGTCGAATTTTTAATTCAAAAATGACTCCAGACTTATCTTCCTCTAAGTGTCTTCCTTAACCCTTTATAATTTCAAAGGAAAACTTGGTCATCCTAAACTTGTTTCTTTATAGGATATCTTCTGCAGTTTTTTCATAAGGTAGAAGATTTTATCCACTTCAAGAAGCACAAACCTATTCATTTTTATAGAGCATTTACATGATTTTCATTTGCAGTCTTGCCTTTATTTTACAACAAAGATGTTTCAAAAAAAAAAAAAAAAAACCAAGATACTGTTCTCTAAATGCATTAAGGAATGTGAGTCAACTACCATATCTTGAGTTTGAGTCCAGTCCTTAGAACTTAAAAATTCCTTCAACATTTTGTTTAACAGAAAAGCAGCTCAGCCAAGAACTTCTGTGGAAGATAGAGCCTGAGAGATTTCTAGAGAATCTATACATGCCATCTAAACAAAACTATGTTCTGCTTTGTATTTGCTAAGTATTTTGAAATGTATATTGTAGCTGATGGGATTAAGTAACAAAGACTTGTTACCACTAAAGAAGCTTCTTTTAACAAGGAAAGAGGAACTGGTGATAGATCAGCCAAAGTAAAAAGCACATCCTCTGGCAGTTTGATAAATTTTGTATTTGGAATGTGATGCATCAAAAGTATACGAAGAAATAAAGGAGGAACATTTTATTGCAAATATCCCAAGCTACTCCAAAAACTAGGAACCTTCTTCTAGAATTTCAATTGCTTAGTGATCTCACTTTTTTTTGCCAGTTCACTGTGGACTTCCTGAGAATTTTGGTGGAATAATCATCACCTCATTTACTTATCCTAAGTTACCTATAAAGGTCATCCCCACAGATATTTTCAGAATACCACTTAAAGCCTCATTACAAGATGGCCTTTTAATAATGACCATAACCATCTTTTTGGCAAATAAGTGACCAAGGTAATATTATAAAAGAATATTAAAGTTAAGAATACTGATAAATCAAGGGTTGCTTTAAGACTGAGAGTTCCGCTCCAAAATATACTGTATAAAAACTTCCAGTCCTATAATCTCCTTGCTCTTTGGAAGAAATGAGAGCTTCTACCAGAGCAGCTCGCTAGTCTGTCATCTCTAAGATCAATCTCATTCTATAGCCAAAACCTCACCAGAAAAAAAAAAAAAAAATTCCAGTTTGCAATAACCTGGTGAAGTGATTATTGGTTGGTTGGTTTGATTTGAGTTATTTTATTTTGTTTTTTGATAGCCTGACATGGACTCAGCCTAGCTGAGTGCTAATCCCAGGGACTGAATGACTAGAACCCCAACCCATGGAACCAGTAAATGGCCCAGGGTCTTAAAAAACCAATCTCAATAGGCAGCTACAGGAGAAAAATAAAATAAAATAAAAATTGCCAAGGTAAATTGCAGGAATAATTAAAGATTCAAGAGAAGGGTAAGATTCCTTAGTGTCTTCAGAACAAAGTGCTTTGCTGGCTGTATTACAAAGTCAGTCCCCAAACTATTTGGTACATATGAATTACTAACTGTATACTCCATCATACCCTGCATTCTCTTGGACTCTTTTTGCTCCCTTCAGAAAGAAACAAAGCTGTCTTGGGCCAACAGTGCTGCTTTATGGCTACTAGATGATTTATCCGTCAGTATATCCATGCCCCATACACTCTTTTGCTTCCCCACCACCGTGTGTGCCTGATGCTGCCATCTCCATTCTTTTTCTCCCTGGAGCTTAGTTAAGTCCACCTCAAATAATCTCTGTCCTTCTCACTCTCGTATACACAGATATGTGTGTGTGTGTGTGTGTGTGTGTGTGTACATGCACACACGGGGGAATCACATGTATATATTCTTAATCCATGTAATTTTTCCCTTGCAATCAATTCAGAATAAAATATTCCTCTTTTTATCCAACAGTCTCAGAGATGCGACACACCTGAATCCACACATTCTGAAATATTAGTCATCTAAAAGAAACAGAAGCACAAATTTCTAAAGCCCTTGACACATCTTAGCTTGTATACTCCCCCACAAATTGCTGACTTGCAATGGTTATTCACTGTCTAAAATAGGGACTCTCCATAACTGGACAGTAGTATAGCTGCAGTTTTGTTTTCTACAAGGTTTAGAACAGTCGTTTGTGGGCTCTCCCAAGAACCAAACTGCTACTTACAATACAGTTCTATTAAAAATAAGTCAGAATTGTCAAGTGTCAATTTTCAAATGACTCCTTCTCCTATTCATTCAGTCTATCTGGTAGTGCTTTAGAAGAAACTTCACTAAAACAGCATATTTGTTTAACAGAAAAAAATCAAGAGAAATGTAAACAAAAATTATTAATTCACTTAAAATAATAAAATACCCATTACATGTTAATATGAACAATTTTATGAAAAATAACTTTTTTAAAATTTAGTAGAGTAGCATTGTTTTACATTTTTGCAACTCTAATGTCTTAATAGCTGGATTCTCAGATCTGCTTTTGCATTCAGTCTGTGGTGATAGGTTGTTTTGGTTGAAGTATAGGGAACGTCTAAACCCTCAGAATTTCCTGAGTGCACTTGTTATTCCTGGTGAGCCCCTCAACAGTTTGTGCTAAGGAGAAGACTCACAATGGAGGCTGACCTCACCGGGAAGACCAACTATGTGATTAGAAGTTTGGAGTTCTGAGTCTGACCTCCATTGCGTGGCCAGTGATTCAATCAACCATGCCTTCATAATGGAGCCTCAATAAAAATTCTGAACACTGAGGCTGGAGTGAACTTCCCTGATTAATTGGCCATATTCTGTATCACACATCAATATGACAGGAAGGTGATGTGTCCTGACTTCATGGGGAGAAGATAATGGAAAATTCATGTTTGGGACCCTCCCAGACCTCACTCTATGCATTTCTCCCTGTGGCTGGTTCTGATTTGTATCCTTTTGCTATAATAAAACTGTAATTGTTAGTATAGCACTTTCCTGAGCTCTGTGAGTCGTTCTAGTTAATTAGGGAATTTGAGAGGTTAGTGAGAACCCCCAAATTTGTGGCCAGCTGGTCAGAAGTAAGGGTGGCGGTGGCATGGGGTCCCCTGAGCTTGTGGCTGGTGTCTGAAGTGAAGACAGTCTTGTGGAGGACTGTGCCCTTAACCTGTGAAGTACAGCCTAACTCCAAGTAGTTGGTGACAGAAGTCATTTGTACTTTTCCAGGTAATTGTGGATATTCTTCTTTGATACTATGCTAAAACTCAGTAAGTAGTCATTTCTTAAAGGTTAGCTGCAACGTGGAAACTGAAACTATATCAACAAACATTTGTACTGTTACATGAAAATCTATTTTTTTGTCTTGCAAATAGAATGACTCTTTATCCATACATTATTTTATAACATCATGCACTGATCATTTGGAAAATATTGATTCACTGAGTTATGCAGATCTTCCAAAATGCTGACACGTGTCATTTTTTCTGACAGTTTGAGGGGAAAAAAGTCAACTTTTTTTCCTTGGTATCACCACTGATCTCACCAGAAAAATCTTTAAATACTGAGAAGCTGTCAAGCTTGTGGTGTTAGATACAAGTTTTCCATTTTTTAAAGATTTTTGCTTTACAGCTTGAATTTTAGCATTGGCAACAAATAACTATCATTTGTTTTCCCAGAAGTGACCAGTTCACTTTGCTCATTTTTAAGAAAACGTCTACCAAACACCCAGGTATGAATAAACAGTATGCCAGAAAGTTTTTCAAATAAAAATGGTGCTCAGTGAGAAGAGGGCTAGTTCAGTTCACAACTTAAAAAATCTCACAAAGGCTTTTTCTCCAAATAACCACTGTACTTTCGTATGCAGCAGAAATGTTTTATATCTACTTTCCGTTTTGTCATACAGAATATTAAAAAGACATAATCAAGAGTTGAGATTTAATAAAATTAATAAATTGTACTGCTTCAACAAAGGCACTCTTGAATGAAAAAAAAAAAACTTTTTTGAGTGCATGTGATAAAGAATTACAATGACTAATAGGACAGTTTGCTGCCACTGCCTGGATTCATGCTGAGATTTCAGCATTTTTTACCCACCATTGCTTTTGCACCATGAGTGCAAATGTCTACGATGTGAAAAAGAGGCAAGTAACTCCCATACAGGAGGCCTAGGTTCAATTCCTGGCCAATGTAGCTCATGCACAGCCACTCCTATCTCTCAGTGGAGACTTGTGTGTTGCTATGATGCTCAATAGGACTAAGATGAACTAGGAAGAAAGGTCTGGTCTGATGGTCTACTTCCAAAAAATAAACTAATGAAAATCCTATGGATCGCAATAGCCCGATCTCTTTGTACACGGTGTTGTCATGAGTCAGGGGCTGACTCAATGGCAGCTAACACAAAAACAACATTATTATGAAAATAGTTTTGACCTTGCAGATCCCTTGGGAAGGTCACAGGAATCCATGGGCATCCATGGACCACACTTTGTGAACTGATAATTGGTAAAAACTTCCTCTCAA